CAACAGCCAGCAAAACTCCAATAACATACCAAAACAATATATGCGGCAACCATCCGAAACCTGCACTTGACCTGTTCGATAATACTAACAACCGACTATACCGACCATAGTTACAATAGAAACCACTATTTTCTTTTGCCAACTTACACCAGGATTATAATAGGCATGAACCTTGGAACAAACTACCCGATGGTCAAGGAACAAAATAAGACAATGGCGTATTCAAACTGGGGCCACGATCTGTGCAACCAACAGCATATGATGAGTCCTTGATTTCGAATGGTTACCGCATCGCATACGCGTTACCGATTAAACCCAGACAGCTCACCAATATTCACTGCACATATTAATCAGGTGATACAAAGAAATCCATGGCACAGAAGAGCGTCAATAGCGTAATATATCAATGCCGGTATTCAATCAATTAGCAAAATTCTAATAACTTGTATATACTACAGATAATCAAAAATGTATCAACCAACAACATTTATAAACAAACAAAAATGAAAACATGGTTTAACAGTATGGAAAATGAAGCAATCAACCGTGACTCAATGTACCAGTTACACAAAAAGCAGTCGTAACAGAAGAAAATTGTTTCGAATCATTACCGCAACCCAGTACACTACGCAACCAGGGCTAGCTCCGTGACGAACACCCAATGAACCTTGCCGATACGCCTTGGTTTGCGAGTCCTCACGGCGTCGTTATGTTGTTTGTACTGGGAGTGGTGGCGTTTTGGGGGTTTTGAAAGGGATGGTCGCGGCTCCGTTTTGTGTTTTTTTTAGGGGAGAAACAGAGAGGATTCGGTGAATAGAGGAGTTTGTGAGGGTTTTGGATCGAAGATTTAAAGTTTGTGAGCGGCGGACACGGGTTGTGTTGGATTGAAGGTTATGATCGAGGGGTTTATGGTGGTGGAATTTGTGAAAATGGCGATGGAGAGATGAGAACAGCGCCGTATTTGGCCTTCCAGGGATAAACAATAGTATCCTAGGGTTTTCTTTTTTGCCTTGTGAACAGTGAAATGTCCCCCTCCATTCATCAGTCTTCCTCCTCTTTTAATACCAATCCTAAGACAAAACCTAACGGGCCTGGGCCTCTGCATCCAAGTTTTTTTTCTCTTCACTAAATTGTTTACAAATTTCTATTAAAATGTGAATAATAACCAATATGATTAATAAATATCAACAACATATTATAATTAAATCTGAATTAAAACAATTTATTAAATAATAACTTTTTAACAAAAATTCAAATATATAAAATAACTAAGGTTTAAAAAACAAAAAATGTAATTACTAAAATGATGTTAGTAACACTTAAAAGAAAACAAAGTTCAAGAAAGTAATATTCACAAAAATAAGTTTAAGCCACGTGTCACCTCTTAATCGGTCAAAAGATAAAATTCTGAAAAACCAGTCAATTGCGAGCAGACACGTGTCTAAAAGACATGAAATGATAAATGCGAAAATATTTACAAAAGGGTAGGACAAATTTAGGGTATGACACCTATGTCATATCAACCGAGAATGGTTTCAACCATCTCCCGTATATAAGTGACTCTGAGTCACGGTCCATGTATTCTTCTCATTCACACTTGTATAATTTTACCTCTCTGAAACTCTAACTTAAATATTATAGCGATAATCTTACAAGAACCCCATATTTAATCACCAAAAACCTCATTCATCATATCAAAAGTTTTTCTGTAATAGTGATCTTCTACCTCTCATTCATTTTCTATTTTAATACAAAATAAAAAGATTAAATAACTATAAGCACTCGCTTAAAGGCAATAACATTATAATGCATAGAAAAAGATGTATTAATATTACATTTTAAGAAAATGAAATATATTTAGACCATTGAACCCTAGAGTGTAAGCTTGACCACATGAGAAAAGTTTATAATATGTGTTTGAAATAAAAAACTTGTCTCATTCTTTATAAAAAAAGACAAATTAGTTTTTTTCCATACCTTTCTATCTATTTTGTTCAATTTCATAATAGTTTTTAAAAATTAGAGTAAAAAAATATCTTATTCAATTTTTATTTATAAGTAAACAAAATGCACCTTACTCAAGAGTAGATAGTTGAATGAAATGATAAGGAATTTCTTTCGATTTAACTAGAGATTCTATATTCGAATTATCTAATTTAAGAGATTAATCTCTGCAATTACGCGTAAAAAAATACCCGATTTTTAAAAGAAAAAAAATAAAAATAAAACGCACCTAATTAAAGACTATACAAATAACGACACATGCACCTTTGTTGTATACAAAATGATATGGCAAGTAACAATTGTGTAAAATGTATGTAAATGCTAAAGTTTGAGTTATTATTCCCTCAACAAAAAGTTCAAACCGTGAAAGAAAAGACTATTACTTCATTGCAATTTATTGCACGAAACTAAAAATATCCTAGCCAATGAGCAAGGAAATTTTTATAATATTGAACCCTCTAATATAAATAAAACAAATTTAGTGGAGAAAAGATAAAAGTTAAAGAGATAAGGCAATACTTATAGATTCTAGACCGATACTAACATTCCTATCAACTACTTTTTCAACTTAATTATAGAAAATCTTATATTAAGAGAATGAGGGAGTAACTACTAACATTTGATGTAAAGAATCTATTTTTTTAGAGTTTTTCTTTTACTTAACAAAATGTTATGTTTATTTTAACTTATTAATGAAGAGATGTAAGAGTCTTGAAAAAAATTTGTGAAAGATAGAAGATGGGTTACTAACTTAAAATGATGCATTTTTAAAAGGAATTTTAAAGTCCATTTGAAGCGGTTGAAAACACTTTCTCATAGTAAATGGAGTTTTAGAGTCTTTTTTGAAGTGGTTTGTGAATTTTTAATTTTTAAAAATCAAGACAAAATAAAATTGATTTGATTTATTAATTAACTTCAAAATAATATTCTATTAAAACTCAACAAAAAATAAAACAAAATTGTTAAATTATTATCTTTGTGTTAAAGATAAGACACCATTGGTATGATTAGCGACTGCGACTCTGATAATTTATACCATTACTCTAACAACTTTTATGACCACCACTAATTATATGATCACTTGGATCACCGATCACTTGGACCAAGAGACTTCTTGCGACTCCCGCTTTATCCACCTACGATCTCTTATCTAACCAACCCTTTACTATTACTCTAACAACTTTTACGGTCACCACTAATTGTACCAAGAGACTTCTTGCGACTACCACTTTATCCACCTACGGTCTCTTATCTAACCAACCCTCTACTATTACTCTAATAACTTTTATGGTCACCACTAATTGTACGATCACCTTGGACTAGAAGACTCCTACCACACTCCTACCACTTATTTGACCACTATTTTGACTACCACACTCCTACCACTTATTTGACCACTATTTTGACTACCACTCCCTTATCTAACCAACCCTCTACTATTACTCTAACAACTTTTATGATCAACACCACTATTTTGACTACCACTCCCTTATCTAACCAACCCTCTACTATTACTCTAACAACTTTTATGATCACCACTAAGTGTACGATCACCTTAGACTAGAAGACTCCTACCACACTCCTACCACTTATTTGACCACTATTTTGACTACCACTGACTATTTCTGATCACCACTTTATCACCCTACAATCTCTTATCTAACCAAATCTCTATTATTACTTACGATCTCTTATCTAACCAAGCCTCGCCTCTACTATTTCGCTAACAACTTTTATGACCACCATTAATTGTCCGATCACCTTGGACTAGGAGACTCCTAACACTAATCTGACCTCTATTTTGATTTCCATTGACCATCTTTTATCACCACTTTATCCACCTACAATCTCTTATCTAATCAAACCTCTAAACACCACCAACCATCACATTTACCACGGATAACCACCAAGTTCACCATTCCCATTGAACTTTCTTTTATTAAAAAAAACACATTAAATAAACATTTTCACCATACCCATTGAACTTTTTTTGATAAAAAAACACATTAAATAAACATTTTCAATTTGCTATCGATAACCACTTAAATTTATGAATATTTTACCATTACCTATCTATTGATGTGTATGTTCACCCAAAATCTTAGCATTAAATATGTGTTTTTTCATTAAGGTATTCACCCTCCACTTTTTTAAACAATGGAAAACTTTCAACTCACTTGTATTTCAACAATCTATCCCCTCAAATAGGAGTTCATCCACTTATATGCTTCCCCTCAAACAAAAGTTCTTCATCGACATATACTTGCACCGCCGTTGACACCTTTGCCACATAATGGACACTTCAACGGAACACGCTGCCTGACCATCACTATGTCAGGAAGACTTTCGATACAAGGAACCGGTCCTTTACTCAAACCATCTGCTCTAATAGTGCTGATGAGTCAGGAAGGGAGAACTACTTTGGATCAATAGCAAACACACAAGTGAGTGTTAGACTCCTTTCCACACACCTCAACAACATTTTAGAAATACACATTCTTAATCCCACCACATATTTGATGGAGATCACAAGCAGTTCCAAACAGACCATTAATTTCATGCAGCAATGACAGAATCACATTGTCGATATGATAGTTACACATCGCCATAAATAAAGAACAGATGCAAAACTTTCCAGGTAAAAAACCTTATATAGTACTTCATGGTCAAAGGTAAAAACTACCTTAAATCTCAAGTTACACAGACTTTACCCTTGCGGGTTAAACTCATCGATACGCAGTTTCAAGTTTCAGTGCATTTCTGCATCTAACAACCCACATGAACTAAATATGTATAAGCCTTATCGATTGTTGATCTAACGAAACACTGTAAATCAACAACCCAAAACAAAAGCTATACACTACAGTTATCTAAAAAAACCTTTGACCAACCATTATCCTCTGCATATTACTACCCTGAAGTTTGATTTCATTATTATATACACTTAAGTATAATCAGTAAGAGAAAGAAATCTCTTATTTACCTCTACCTTATATTCATGTAACATGTATCGATCCTGCTTCATCCATTGAAAAATTATCCTCACTGTCGTCTCCAGAGTTGTCAGCGTCATCATCACCGTCATTGTCAGTGCCCTCACCATCACCATCACCACCGTCATCGTCACTGCTACTACCAGAGTCAGGATCATTTGATTTGAGTATTTCAGCATCAGCTTCGTCGGTATCAGCATCAAAGCCAGAAGGGTCGATATCCTCATCTTCATGAATGGCATGGAGTGGTGGTTTCCACAAAGTCAATCTCTTCATTCCATAATGAAATAGTTCGGAACCAGATGATTCTTGCTCAACCTTTGGAGTAACTTCAACTTTGGCAACTGGCTTCGGACTTTCTAATGTTGCAGAACTGCCAGTCATTGATCCTTCGACCACTGCAGAGTTGGATGACAACTTGGTCTGGGAACCGGAATTTGAAGCTATAATGCTGCAAATGTCAGGTTTTCCCACTATATCAACCCACTTGTCATCAATCCAATCTTGGGCAATTCGAATGGCGTCCTTATTGGCCAACATATACTTCTCTTCACCTAAAGAGAATCACATCACCATGAGAACACATTTCTGGAAACACTAAAATTTAAAAACAATGTTTTTGCAATTTTTCAAAAGTAATCAATCTATTGTTTATTTTAGCATAAAAATGAGAACAGAAAAGAAAACAGTACAAGTAAACGGCCCGAGTGATTTAAATCATACCAGGGGAATACAGCTGATAAGTTCCAGCTTCAGAAACATCGACAGCAGTTATAACGCTTTCCCACCATCCATCGCCGCACCAGGCATCCACTGCAGCTCCAACCTCAAATGTACAACCTTTAACAAATTCAGGAGGACGTGGTCGTACCGTTAAACGGCCGTAACGACGCATGCCCAGTTTGTCAGGATTTGCCACTCTGGATGCAGGGAGCCATTCCTACACAAATTTGTAACAGGGTTGAGAACCGTACTCTTTCACTACTTTCACTACAGCTCAATTAATGACATGATAGGACTTCTAAGCCCAAAACACACCATAATAATCAATGTAGCACGGATACCTCTTAAAAAAGGCATGTCCGTATTGGACCCCAATACTGACACAACACTGACACTTCTGATTACATTCAATTTATTTATTTTTTCCAATTATTACCGGTGTTGACGTGTCAATGTCAGTGTAATGTATGGTGTATGTGCTCGTGCTTCATAGATAATCATTATTTATATATACTAGTATACAAAATTACTCAGCCAATAGATAGATTAGATAAGGCATTGGCAATGCATACCTCGAGTAGGCCTTCATCATCGGCGTCCATCAGATCATCATACTGGACCTTCAGCTTCTTCTGAGATGCATACAAGATTGTACATCTAAACCAGCATCCTCTAATGCCACTATCTTGACAGAGAAACTCAATCTTATCATTGACCTTAAACGGCAGTTCAGGCTTAGGTTCCATAACCTTAACACCCATTGTTTTCGACAGTTTCAGTTTCAGACTAGGGTATTTCGGTTCACCTTTTGACATCTCATTCACAGGAGAAGAGTATTGAAGACCAGACGAACCATTTTCAGGTACCGAATACTCCACAGAACTTCTATTTCTCTTAATGTAGCTCAAAGGATCATCTTGAGTGAAGTTCTCACCATCTTCCAATTTTGGATAGTTCGCCTTTCTTTTGGAAAGAGTAGGGCTAGGATTGTTCAAACCCGAAAGTATAGGCTGGTTACCATAACCGCGCAGCTTAGTAAGTGCAAAGGGCTTGAGCTTATTGTTTTTAAGCTGCCTAAAGCACATGTGGATCTCAGGTAAAGAGGTATTCGGCAGCAACTCAGCTTTGTATTTTTCATAATGCTTAGGAGTCAGAACTGTTGCAGGCCCATTGATGCACTCGGCGCTGATCACCTGAACATTAGGTGTGATGAAAACTTCCCCCTCTCCAAGATCAAGGTCTGGAATCACATGCTTAACTTCCTGGCCACGGTGAAACCACCGAACCTTGACCCTTTTTTGCTTCTTTTTGTCTTCATACATATCTTCCAAGTAACCAAGATAGGAATTTTCATCTTCAGCCATAATATATACAAATGAATGAACCTATAAATTAGAAGAAATATTTCAGAATCATACAATTACCTTTGTATCACAGTAAAAGTCAATGAAACCAAGGGCCTGTTTGGATTGACTTTGTTGAGCATATATACTCACATAAGCTCCTGTGAGACTGTTTGAGAGATCTTATGAAAATAGTGCACGACATTGTCCATAAATAGTTTTCATCTTAGTTTCACAAGCTCTCCACGATAGCTTACGAAAAATATCATATATAAAAACAGCTTTACATAAACACTTGCATGATAAGAGCTTATGCTATAAGCGCTTAACTAAGTTGTTTATCCAAACAGGGCCATGAGAATGTAAGAAAATGACTGACATGTAACAAAACGAATTGTTTACTTACATTTATGGTTGTCCCTTTCCTGTCAAACCCGGAGTAATGCTTCAGCGATTTAGCACAAAACCAGGCAGTGCCTGACCATTCAATATCTGAGCTTTCAAATTTGAGCTTCTTAGAAATCTGCAGTGTAGAAAACACAGGCATGGTGAATTAATCATGTCATATAAAGATACAAAGCGAACTAATAAGAGATTGATTTTATTAGTCGCTGTTTCTATACCAGTTTATCAGGTATTTTTCTGTTATTAGCGGACATATCAAAAGATCCCAATCCTGGAGCTATTTCTGAACCATCCAGCAGTGCATCTGTCAGAAAAAACGAGGTTGCTCAGAATAAAAGCGGTTAAAGAAGATTGATAAACCATGTTGTAGCAAACAAAAGATATGGCAAAAAGTAATAATATCCATAAACATCACAAGGAGATTCGTGTAGAAAATCACCAAGTGAGATTTGCATTAAAAGAGCCTCAAACAAAGTTGACCATAAGAAGCGACTGACTACACTAAGTTTAGGTAGAGATTCATTAGATTGAATCAGGATTTATTGCATTGAACTGAATCGGATTCATCATAATGAATCGAGATTCATATCAAAAATACATACACATTAGGTTCAGTTTTGCATTGAATCGAGATACGGCGCACATGTATCACAGGATACTGATATCACAATCCCAACGCAGCAACGTTACCAATAGATCAAGACAATAATTAGGGTTTGATCTCCAAAATCTAATCGATTCATTTGTAATATCCTACCCCAACGCGCAACTTTACTAATAGATCAAAACCCCCAACGCGCAACTTTACTAATAGATCAAAAGCCCCAACGCAGCAACTTTACCAATAGATCAAGACCCGAGACTCGTGTAAATAAAACAAGAAAAAAAATTATTAGGGTTTGATCTCCAAAATCTAATCGATTCATTCGAAATATCCTACCATGTCTAATGCATTAATTGTGAATAAAAAACGGAATGAAATAAAATTGACAGATCCAGACATAAATTCAGAAAACAGAACACAGATCTAAAACACAATAACAGATTACAGTGTAATAAGAACGGAAAGATTAGGAAGTTGATAAACAAAATGAACAGTACCCATTTCCTGTTGCATCCAACTTATGGGATTAAAATACATCTCTACTTCACTACCCGCTGTATCTATACTCTCTGTATCCATAGTGCTCTCTGTATCCATAGTGCTCTCTGTATCCATAATCACAATGACGGCCTCGGCAGTATCGAAGAAGCACAGACTTGTGAAATTTTGCAATACAGTGTTTTCAGAACTGCTTTAAAGTAACGTGTCAGTGGGATTTTATACTGCTCGAGAGAACGTATTACAACACGTTACAAGCACGTGACCTTTATGCATTATGTCACGTTACAAGCATGTCATCTTTACGCAATATGTCACGCATTATGTCACGTTACAAGCACGCAATCTTTACGTATTATGTCACGTTCAAGCACGTGATCTTTACGTATTATGTCACGTTACAAGCACGCGATATTTACGTATTATGTCACGTTACAAGCACGTGATTTTCAAGTATTATGTCACGTTTCAAGCATGTGATCTTTACATATTATATCACGTTACAAGCACGTGATCTTTACGTATTATGTCACGTTTAGCTCTGAGCGGTTCCTCGACCCTAAAACCCTAGTCCTCTTATTCTAACCTCGACTTCCACTCTTACTCATTCTTAATCTTAATATTTGATTGTTAAAATAATCCGCGATTTTATAAATTACATTAACAAAACAACATGCCATAAACTAGAATAAAAAACTAATCACGAAAACTCTCACATTTATTTCACTTACCATGAATGCAACAACCGTGGATGCTAACATGGTGATCATTTATCATCCATAATACCAAGTATTTAAATTTAAAAATATTGCGTATAAATTACATAAGATTGTGCTCAAGGAATATAAATGTATCATTTATTATGATAGCTATACTAATTCAAAAATAAACCAATTCAGTCAACAAATAATCAAAACCAATTCACATTTTTGAAATCTTTTAATCCCTCACTCTGAACCATGAATATGAAAATTGAAAGACACCTTTCGAGAAATAAAATGTACAGAATACACTCGAAGTAAGCAGCCATGAATCAACAACCAAAGCCGAATATTTACGTTGTGTTAGAGAGAAGACATGGGACAACCAACGTAAAACCTCATTAAACCTTATTAGCATGGATCATGGTTTTAAATTGTTGTCCATACCACCATTGCAACCACAGCGTAAAGTCTTTGGACTTTGAAGGTATTCACAACTACATCATGACCGTAAGCACAACTACATACACCACAGTTGTTCACAATTTTCTACAATATCAATAGTTGCTACGTAACCGCAAACGCGATCACAGTTGAAAACCTTTGCATGGATCAACGATAAGGTTAATCATGAATCCTCATGAAAAATTCCTTTGCAGCCAGTTAAGACATAAAACTCATACAGCACAGACTTAACAAAATTCTTTCAAGAAGAACATTGTGTGGTATGCAGCATTCGACAAGAGCACATGAACTAATGTATATACAGAAAAGCCATTCATTCATTCATAAAAATAACACAATTCAGCACATACACATGAACCCACAAACAATATTTCTTCACAAACAAATCATCAAAACACATGAGAATCAAGCAAAGTTACCTGCGCGACGCGATTGATTCTTCAAAACCAAATTATTAAGCCAGTCCACAACCTCCCTCCTCGCCCTCCATTTATAAGTAACGTTGATGGATCCATAAGCCTGCAAAAACTGTTGAGGAACAACATACATCATGTGCCTCACACTCCTCTCCGTCCCAACAACAGCCAGCACAGAATCCCCGGACACATGTTTCAAGTAGAAATGAATCACTCGGTTCCCACGCTCTTGACATATCACTTGCTCCTCCCATGACACAAAAACAGGATCAATCTCATCACCAGACATCCTTCAAAATCCACCAACACAGCAACAACGACAACAACAACACTCTAACCAATATCACATTAAACCACAACAACAAAAACCAATGACGGGTTGTCCCTAAACCAACCCCAAATTGGTAAAGGAAAAACCCTATACCAAAAACTCAAACTTTCAACTAAATAACCAAACCGACAACAACCCAGATGAAAAAAATAATTATTTTTCAAAAGCTAGATGAAATGAGGCAAAAGGGTATGATCAATATTAAACAAAGAGAAGAAAGTGTCATGGTAGAAAAACTAGAAGTGAAGTCAAACAATGTGGCCTTATAAAAACAAGCGGAAAAAACAAAAACTAAGAAACATCAAAGGTACATTCGTCGTACTACGTCATGAGGTTTATGTTACGAGAAACAAAAACCCAGGTTTTATGAAGTGGGGTTCAAGGCAATGGAAGAGAGAAAGAGACAGAAAAAGAGAAGAATGGTTTTTCGGAGATGAAAAAGAGGATTTAGAGAGAATGATTGAATCGTTTTATAGGGTTGGTGAAGAGAGTGAAAACGATGAAGAGTACGAAAAAAACCTCACCTGAAGAGAACGGTGTTTTTTGCCGTGTGGTGAATCAAGACGGGGAGGAAGTGGTAGAACCGGAAGGGTATTAAGGGAATTTCGGTTTTTTGTGAGAGGGATATTCTGGTGCTGCAGGTGCATGTTTGCTCTTGACACGTGTCGTGTTCGTGATTCTTTTTTGACCACTCGATTCCATCATTAGAGTGGGGGTGTAGCCTGTAGGGTTTTGTTTTTTTTGGAAGATTCTATACGACGTCGTTAGGTGATGGTTATTTTGTTCCCAAACTCAAGGGTTTTAACCAAACTCTAGTTGTGAATTGTGATCCCTAGATGCATACTTTAGTTCAAAATAAATTGGAAAATGTGGTGTATTATAATAATTATAATGTGTGTTAGGACCTGATAATAATAATAATTTAGAGTTTAATTGAAAAATGTGGTGTCAAACTTAGGCAAGAACTATTGGACAAAAATTCTAACTCGGATATTTTTAGGAAATTAGGCCATGATCATTTTCAAAATGCAATTAATTTACTTCTAATTAGGTGAAACCACTTTAAAGAAATCTCTCCTATTTTTGTTTGAGTTAGTCACATAATACAAACTCAACTTTATTTAAATGCATCAAACTTCTTGTCAGATAAATGCTTATAAGTATGTTTTTTAAGTATTCTTTAAAGACTTAAAATAGTATTAAGATATTGAATAAAAAATGTATTAAGATAATTTATCTATTTAAAGCATTAGAAATTAAAATGTACAATTTTCAATAAAACAATTTTTTATTATAAATTTTTATTGAGTATTTTTAGGATATTGATTTGCTGTACTGGAGAGGTTATACAACGATTTTCATAAATACACCCTTAATTCTATATTCTACGCCAATATAATAACTTCATTTGTGAGACTCATTTTCTGATTCTCAATAAATTCCTCATTTAATTCATCGGATCTTTTCAGATGCGTGTCACAACCGTTCTTATTGAAAAATTATATCATCGTGAATCATATAAACCACAAATGGTAGCTTTCAAACTATCTCGATTGTCCATTCATTATAACACTGATCCTGTGACCGAAGCTGCCACACCATTCTTTGTCTCCACTTGTGAAGTTCATCCTCCTCTTGTTGGGGAGGCGGTCTGGTACTAGTAACATCTCTAACTAGTTCATATTCTTCGGCTCTAGTACCTTCATTGATCGGTCGGGGAATTTTCCAAGTTTCGTCATCCTTTCAACTTTTTCAACAATTACTCTAAGGTTAAACTTCTAAATAACCTCAACTACAAACATAAACACCTGAGCCAAAAATGTTCAAAGCCTTCAACAACTTCAAGCCACATTAGGGATACATATGGTGAACGAACTAATAACAAACAATTACAAACTAGTGTTGTAACACTCCAAATATACCCCGCGAAATATAAAAATATATCAGAGCAATCACATCAAAAATATTTAGGATGTCACACAATTCAACATAAATAACTGCTCATATATTAGGATATGTAACACAGACAATTTATTTGTAAATCATTTAAAATCACCAAAACAACTCAACATGTCTTAATTTCAAAACTTTGTTGAAATAGTTAAAGCATCAACATAAACAATTATTCAAAGCATAATTATTCTTTAAAATAACATAAACAACAATTATTCTAGAGATATACAAAAATCTCTATTAAACTCAACATAACATGATGTTCCCTGACCTGGTGTTACATATCAGAGCAGACGCCGAAACCAAAGAAAAATAGAAGACTTCATCTTCTACTTACTTCAACTCATCTACTGCGAGCTATCTGTATGATGCTCATGTAAAGACAATATTCAAACAGAAGGAGTGAGATATCATAAATAGATAAAGGAAAGCATAATAATAAAGCAAGCATTAGGTTTCTCATGCACAAACACCCATTCCGTAACAACCAACACAACAACAACCATTCAAAATACAACAAGATCATCCAAGATACAACTACAACATTCCACATACAACTACAACATGCAACACAATAACAGATGCAACCAATATGTGATGTAATGAGACTCACAACCAGACTCAATGTATGTGGTACCATTGGTTCCTATTTCAGAACCCGATTCCTATTTCAGGATCATAATTCCTGTAGGAATTTCCATAATGTCGCTCACACCCCACATGGGCACACGACTTCCGTGATCGCTCACATCCCACATGAGCATACAAATCACCGTGATTGCTCATACCCCACATGGGCACACGACTACTTCAACGACAATAATAACAACGATATGATTCCGTAATTAAAATTCGAATAAGACGCTCACACCCCACATGGACACACGACTTATATCACAACTCATGCAACCATAAATGCATGACAACAGCAACAACAACGACCATTTAAAAAATGCAATATGCCACTACAGGCCAGTAACAACAACATGTCATACAGTTGTCGCTACTCGAAAAATGCATCGCGCAACGACGGGGAGGCGAAAAAGAATAGACAGAAGAGTCGCCACCGAACTTTATTTATCCCATGAGGGGAAAGGAAAATATCGAGAAAACCTTAGGAAAGAAATGGATAAGATGGTCTCGCAACCAAGAACGGGTTCGGAAGCCGGTTATGCGAAGGGAAGGTATTAGCACCCCTCGCATCCATCGTACTCGATAGGAACCTTTTGTTTGTCGATGTGTGAATTTATCTGCTTAAATATTATGCTATAAAAAGAGTGTTCTAAAAGATAGCGAGAAGGGTTTAGAAACGAAGAGAGGAGGGATAGAGAGATAACAGGGGGAAGAAGAGAAAGAACAGACTCGGTAGGACTTCGCGGTCCTAGGCCTACGTATTCTCAATAGATGTGAGAAAGTCAGAGTCGACGTAGTTCGGGGAACCACAGATATGGGGGGAATGTGCTCGGCAAGGATTGTGGCCCTTGTGCCTACGTATCTTTACTCAAAAGAAGTAAAGAATCAGAGCAGCCGTAGTTCGGCCTACGGTGTGCGGGGAAGTCTTGGTAGACACTGCTATCGTGCGCATTCTAGCAGTTAGGTGTATTGCTGCTCGCTCGTTGGAGACTTAGGCGTTACCTGTTTGCGGTAGAACGGACGTAGCATGCCTTTCTGGGAAAGGGTGAAAAAGAAAAGGGTGCTCGCTAGGATACTGCAATCCTATGCCTACGTATTCTCAACATGCAAGAGAAATCAGAGCAACGTAGTTCGTGCCTACGGTGCGGATAACCGGTGTGTTTGTGTGGATGATGTTATCGCGCGCGTTCTAGCAGTTTAGGTGTTTTGCTGCTCGCTCGTTGGAGACTTAGGCGTACCTGTTTGCGGTAGAACGGACGTAACATATCCTTTGGGAGACTGGTTTTCGCCATGCGAGGCAAGGTGTCACGTTTGATCGATTGGATTGTTTTTTAGGGGGCGAGACAGGTCCTCGGATAGTAACCCCTACGGGTAGTACCCAATTCTTTGTCTCAAAGTTTTTTGTTATAAAAGGGTGTGGCAAACGAGGCGTCTTCGTATTGAAAGACGAGCGTCGAAACCACCCTCACTACAGTGGGCATCCTAACGCTCGGAGAAGAAGAGGTCTACACCCAATCCTCTCTCTTTAATTCAATGCAAAGAGAACTTCATTCTCTTATTAGAGATGTTTTTGGTTTTGAATGGTAAGTGCTTTGCGACAGAGAACCCTACGGTAAACGTCAGCACTCGGGATAGGAGAAGGCCTACGCCTAACCACTCCACGACCATTCAAGTTTTTGTATGAAAAGGAATTTGAAAATGCACTCGGTACGTGACCGAGGTTTTAGGTGTGAAAATTGTGGAAGGAAGTTGTGAAAGCGAGATGGTGGATAAAGAAGTCACGTTTCGTATTGAAAGACGAGTGTCGAGACCACCCTCACTACAGTGGGCATCCTAACACTCGGAGAGGAAGAAGACTACACTTAATCCCCTCTCTTTAATTCAATACAAAGAGAAAATAATTTATTGAAAGATAGTTTGAAAATGGGCTCGGCACGAGACCGAGGTTTTGAAAATGTACTCGGCACGGAGCCGAGGTTTTTTAGGAGAGAAAGGTTTAGAAGCGTCTTCGTATTGAAAGACGAGTGTCGAAACCACCCACACTACAGTGAGCATCTCGACACTCGGAGAAGAAGAGGTCTACACCTAATCCTCTCTTTTTAATTCAATACAAAGAATTTGATTCCTTGTTGATGATTACCTGTCAAAGAGATGAAAAAAAACAGAGACAAATATATACAGATAATATACATAATATATAATCAACAGTCCACCAATTAGGATTTTAATGATTTCGATATTTTATTAAGTATTTTTGGAAGAATGAACAAGTGTTGAATATTTACAATATAATAATAATATACAGATATAATATGTGCAAGAATATAAATGACTGAAAATAAAACAGTTGTATATTTGACAGAAAATTAAAG